AAACTTTCAACATTTTTCATGAAATATTATACCAATCAAACACAATTAATTACAATTTCCATTAAAGCAATTTCTAGGTAAATCAATTCCTCGTAAAACATTTTTTTCCACCAATTTTTCACATTTGCAATCAAACGGACCCTTATAGATTAATTTGATGAAATTTTGGCATTATCAAGAAATTATTTTTTTTCTTGGGTTCCTTGCATGCTTGAAGTAACTTGTGATGATGTAGTAGAATTTTTTTTTTAATTTGGTAGCATGCACGATTAGTTCACCTAATAGCCCCATTTTGCATTACCTAAACTTTAAAAAAAAAACTTGTCCCCCCCCCCCCCACCCCCACCCCCAAAGACAAAAAAAACACTTTTGAATAATCCAATCGCTCAGAATTGGATTGAATTAGAGATATATTTATTTCTATTGTCTAAATTCTGAACTCTTGACTCTAATGTGAGTAATGGAAATAGGAACTAACAATATAAAATCCATAATGTCTAGCCCCATAAATAAATATCTCAGTTGCTACTGATTTTTTTGAAATATATTTCAATTGTAATTGAACTTTTCGAAATGATTTTCATGCTACTAAACGTTATAAATTATCTGAGTTGCCATTGAACTCGTCAAATCGTTATCTCATTCATCAATATCATCTCATTGTCTTAAAAGTTAACAAATTTGGTGACATGGTAGTTGAAATGACGGATGGAACAGCGTATTGAGAAGTTCTTCAAGTCCATTAATTTCTATAAACAATGAGTATGGAGTGATAAATATGATAGGCAAATTCACTGGCAATTCGTATATTTTTATAGTTCAATAACAATTGAGAAATATTTGAAGAGGGCTAATAACAACATAAATGTATAACCCCAATATCATTGGTAGTAATAGCATTTCTTAACAAAGCATTTTTTTGGTTGAGGGCAATGTTGCCAATTTAAAACTATAATTAATTTTGTGTAAATATAAGTCGATAAGTAAAACCTAACATGTTATTGAAAAGAATATAGAAAATCGTTTTAGAAAATCGTTATTGTTCCCACCTTCAGACGCAATCATATTTTTCACGAGGAAATTGACAAAAATCGAAGAGAATGAAAATGACTTACTTTACAAATCATGTCAAAATCTTAATGCATCCACGATCTTTTCTGACAATCACTTATCTCCTTTTCCACCCCATGCATCTCGTTCCATGATCTCCACTCTCTCGTATCCTTGTCCTCCACGTCTTCGAAAGTTGTCAATAACCATTTCTCATTTTGTTTTAGCATTAACTGATTTCCTATCTCATTTTTTACTCGGAATTCCTTCTCATTTATATCTTGATTCTGGAGTTTCGGATAGACGCCAAACTTTTTTATTAAAAATAAAATAAATAATTAGACATATTGGTTGTGTTGATTTTTAAAACTTGCCATTTTTCATCCATGAATTTCATGGCAAGTAAAAGCAAAATCTAACATGGCCATTTCGAGTCTTCGAGAGAGTGGGAGGGAGAGAGAGTCACGTGACATGGAGGGCCTTCTAGCTTCAATGCTCCAATGACATGACCAAGTTGGAGGGAAATCCATCATACCGTCCATTCAAGAATCAACGACCAAGATTTATTTCATTTAATTTTACTCAAAAATAATCACTTATTTCTCAAAAGTAAAAGTTAAAAACAGAATGCTCCAGTTTTGAGAGTAGGGTGCAAAAGAACCACAACTGAGACTCCAACACCGAGAGAGAAGAAGGGAAAAAAGGCCTACACAGAATATCAAATGCGCCGATTTCATTATCTTGAAAGTGGAAAGAAACCTGTAACGATCTATTACAATAGAGAAAACCTCAACATAATTTGTTGAGAGATTCAAAATCTGTTCTTTATTATCAGATAAAATTATCTTCTTCCGGGCTGCTCTACAAAGAAAGCTGAAGTATTGTAATTCCTTCTTTCTCTTCTTTACTGTTTTCTTCTTCATTGTTTTAATTGGATTAGGCTAATGGGTTATTAGATTTTGCAATGCTGTGTATTTCGATAGTTTTGGGAAGTATTTTCCACAGATCTTGAAGTGGGTTTAGTTTTTTGTTTATATCTACATTTTCTTGAATTTGAAGTCAAAAATCTCAGATGGGTGACTAATTTATGGGGTTTTTTGCTTTGTTTTGTTGCAGATATTTACACGTGTATATAGATTCATACATGGATAAGTTGCAGTGGGGAAACAGGAAGAGACTGAGATGTGTAAAAGTGAAAGACTCATCTTTGAATGGGAAATCGGATGGAGATGGAACTGGGAGTGGTGTTGTGAAGAAGAAAATCACATCAAGGGTTGTTGATAATAACAATAATAGTAATAATAATAACAAAGAATCATCTGTTCTTCCTCCTATTCCATCTCCTCATCGTTCAAACAGGTAACAAGATTAGGTTTAAATAGATTGATGCCTTCTCTTTTTAAATTTTGAAAATCGCATTGAAAATATTGTTAGATTTTGAAATTTGGGCTATGATTTTTGAAATTTGCAGTTCTACTTTCTTGTGAAGTGGAGATTTACTTGTTTACTGTTTACATGTTTTAGGGTAATTTGATGGGGAATAGTGATGTTATTGATTGTGTTGAAAGCTTAGATTGTCATCTTATATCTGTTAAAAGAATATTTTTTAAAGAGCTGAGAAGTTTGGTTAAAGTTGGTTGTTGTTGGATCCACGACTATCAACTCTCATTTGTCTAGTTGGAGTCTTCTTGGTAATTAAGATTGATATTTGTGCTTTATGAAAAGTAAAAGAAAAGAAACGAATGTCTGGGTTTAACGAGTTTTAGTATAGATTCTTTGTTCTATAAATTATAGATATGTATCTATATGTACTCGAAATGGAAAGTTGAA